ATCATGTAAACGCTTACGGAAGTTGACGTGTGTTCTGTTATGCACGTTTACTGGTAAACGAATAGAGTGTAACAAGTGAATCTCGTCAAACCTTGGACTATTAAATGTCGCTGTATGTAAACACTTTTTCACCATTGAATATGTTCTCCGTGACGGTTAGATTGTATGGTTTCTTAATTGAACTGTAAGCTTCAGTGCTTGCAAAATTTATACACAATACAATACAGTACTAGGATTAGTTACCCCTCCAGTTTTTTTACTGACTGAGACGTCAATTCGAGTCTAGTCACCAACCTGAGGACCAGGAACCTGGGTTTTATCTGATCTGTACTCTTGGACCTTCCAGGCTGGACTAGATCATCGCTTTAAGAAAAGTCAACTGTGTAGGTTGTTGGGTCAGAAAGATGTACAAGCCACCACACGACTGTGCGATCTCATCTCGTGCCTTCAGCATGTATATTTTCGTTCCTTCCCCAACTGTTCGTGCTTTGCGATGATCACCTTTCCTTAGCGTTCAATTTCATTTATACCTATGTTGATGGCGCTACTGTACTGTCGTATGCTGGATTTGAATCAGTCTTCTCCCACCAAACCTTTTAGCATCTGCCATATTGCATTAAAACATTCCTTGGTTTTCTAAAAGATGTATTTAATTGGTTCGCAGTTCTTGATTGCCATTGGAAGAAATTCGTTCATTTAAAGTTTCGTTTCTAAACCGCTCTGTTATATTTCCTCCGTTGTAGGACACTCCAACAGTTCCGATTGACACACTGTCCAACGCAGTACAAGAGCATGCCGTGGTTGGTGATCTGTTGCAATGTCTTCAGGTAATAGATCGTTTGGAGTGGTGACGTTCCATCATGCTTCTGCAAAAGGTCTCACATTCTTTATCCGTCAAATTATGTTTACCTGTCCCCTTCGCTGGTATCCTATGTGATGACTGCGNACTGCGTATCTTGAGGCAATTCCTCTGAGCTGATTCGCTCAAGCATTGCTATTATATAACCGTCTTTTGAAAAGTTGCTAACACTTCGATATCAATTGCCTTACAAAGACCTACTAAACTTGATTTCTGCCCCCTTCTCCACTACACAATTTCTTACTCAATTACAAAATAACCTGTGAACGTGGTTGTCTGTCATGATCGATGAAGATAATCCATCTATGTTTTTGGGTAGGTGGAGTTCTTGCTTTGAATTGTGAACATTTCATTAGCCTCAGTGTAATCGGAACCCGCGCATGGACGCTGTCTAAGCTTTCGTACGGTGCACGCTCTACCAACTGAGCTACGAGACCACACCGATAGTACCGATCTTTTCCCATGTGGCTCACTCATCCAACTTACAGAGATAAATGAAATCCATGTCTTAGAAGTTCTACTTGTTGATTCTAATGAAAGCCCGTTGTGACAGCCAGCTTACATGCAGAACTGGTGGATGTCTTAGGCCTCTATAATTTGGACGAGTGAACCAAATATGAAAAGCGCAGCGCTATCGATGTGGCCTTGTAACTCAACTGGTAGAGTGTGCTCCGTATAGAAGCGTAGGCGGTGTCTGTGCATAGGTTCGAATCCTACCGTGGCTACTGCACGTTTCAATTCCACAATGATCATCCACTCATATCATGAAATGTACAGTGTAACGTGTTTAGATCTCCATTTCAGCCACTCGGTCCTAAATTATACTTATCACTTGAACTTGGTTTATGAAAAACCAAGTTTTTTTCTTGTTGCGCTTTGTTGCGTGATGAACAGGACCTGCTCACTCATGGATACCGACATCATCATCCCCGGGGCTTGAAGCATCAAACCAGAATATCCCTCGAGGGTAGGTGTGGTATTGAACTGGATAACAGCAAAACTCCCAAACACCAAAGTTAGATGGCGGTGACGGAGTTCGAACTTCGGGCTGCGGTCTCAAAGCACACCAGTGACCTAAACTGCTTGACAAACACTTCTATAAACTGATATGATGGTACCTTCGTTCTGTCGATGGTTCTCCGGTTCGGAGGTCGTTAGGTGTAACGTGCCCTCAAACAAACGTTTTTCGAGAGCCAGTGAAAGACAGCTTAGCGGTATCGAATCAATGTTCACCGACTCATGTCACTTCTCTGATACGGTTACTTGTCACTCACAATCTGTTGGCAAAATCTGCACATGAATTGCTGACTGTCATGCTGTGAATAACGCATATCGATTGTAACATGTCACATGCCATCTAATTGTGATTTTACCCGTTTAGATTTTTAACGTTTGATTTGTGACAGAATCTTCCCGAGAATCACTCTGCTTGGTCTGTTTGGTCTCCTTTTGTAATACCATATACCGTTCACAGTATGCGTGGCGGTTCTTTATTACGCGTCACGTGATAAATACCAATAAAGTTGTGATAGATAGTTACAGTAGCCTCAAGAGAGTTGCCGGTGCATTATTTTCCTACTCTTTCAAGTGTGAAATAAACCTGGTTCTACTAAAATTCCTTTCAAGTTAAGTCAAGTCAAGGAATGGCTTTATACACCCCGAGAGGTGGATATTCAACAACCACATAACCATAGTGTGTCAAAAAATACGAAGAACACAATAGTATGATAAAGCAGTTAAAAGGATATGAAAAGGGACAGCAACAACCAAAATGAGTGGCACACCTGGGTGTTCATGAGGGATTTAGTGTAGTGTTTGACTCAGATTTCCCGTAACGAGGTCTTGGTTTGTTAGAAATCTGGCGAGATAAGGAACATCAGACCGCCTGTAAGCTTCAGCGCGAGTCTTTATGAGTTTGTAAGCGTCGGATGGAATGATATCGGAAATATGTGACTGATTTCCGTATAAATGTTGTGTTCGCAAACACCGAAACGTTCTGAAACGTTATCTCGTCCCGTCAACTCGGGTTGTTTTTTTTCCACCTTCCTTTTACATGATCATATTTCTCGTCGTCTACTTCGATTCTCTTCCATTCCAGGGAAATCAGGGTGTGTACATCAAACCGTTACCACTCACCTCACGTTTCGGTACCCGATCGTTTTCGGTGGATGAGAGTATGGGTGAGTGCCCCATGTTTTGTTGTATTCACTGAACTCCAATCGGTTGATTGCCTTTTTTCCTCCCATGTGTCTAACCACGTTAACGGAATGTAATTTCCATGTTTGACGATAACTAAGTGGCCGGGAATTGTGTGTGTGTGTGTGTGTGTGTGTGTGTGTGTGACATATCGGACCCCGGTTCTCATATTCGCTTGAGAAACGAAAACATTCT